TTCATTTTTTAACGGCAATAATAATTTAAAATTTGTTTTAATTTAAAAAAAAAACATATGGGGATTATTCAAATAATAAGCATACTTCAAATTAATAATAAAGTAAAAACTGGAAAGACACAATAATACAAGTGACACACTCCATCATATAAAAGCGCACTATATAGTAGGGCTGGCGGTATTCGAAATTCTGATACCGGTATCCGGTATTTGTTTACTACTGGTAACTACGGTATTACCGGTTATACGGTAATTACCGAAAATACCGAGGTGCGGACTACTTTGTTTCTTTTCTCTCTCAATAATCCTGTCTGTCTCTAAACGATGTCCATTAGTTTAAAGGTTAGGTCCTGAGCGGACGGGAGGGGGACACGGCTTCAATAACAAATTATAGTCGGCTATCTAGCTGTCTATGATTTTTTCATTATAATAATACAATAGGTATTATGGCATTATGACATTATAATTATCAGATTACATAAAAATAATGAAAAATAAATGTAGGTAGGTATTGTATTTTCGATAATTACCAAGGTCCTAAGAGCTAAGTGGCTAGGTACGGTATTTTTGGTAATTACCACACTTCGGTATTTTTAGTAATTACCGCACCTCGGTATTTTCGGTATTACCGTGGCACGGTATTTTCGGTAACAACGATAATTACCAAATCACGGTATACCGCGGTGTTCTGAAATACCGAAAATACCGGATACCGTGATTTTTAAATACCGGTAATTACCGGGATACCGAAAATACCGCCAGCCCTACTATATAGTATATACACAGACACCACATCTCTGTGATCACCTATCTTCAGAATGCGAGTTTTGGAAAACCTTTTCTTAATACGCCTGTTTAGGCGTAGGTCTCTATACGTAGTAGATAACAAGTATTGAAGTATATATAATATGTGCGTGCACGCAGTAGTGTAATACTGGCGCTTTTCGTATTTAATTTAACCGACATAATCGCGGCGTGTTTAAGAAATCCGTCAACGCGATCACTCCTTGCAGCACCCGACGAAAAAACCACGTTCTCGGTATCTAATATTACAATAACAACACGTATATTATGTACGTGTGCATATATAGATAAATGCTAGCCACTGCGAACGTTCAACGGCTGTCTAAAAGATAAATCCGTCGTGTGTTTGCTTTGGCCCGAACGGCAATCGAGCGCGTGTACAACATCGGTGCACCCGTAATATGCACCCATAATATCGTATAATATTACTATGTGCGTATACTACATCATGATATTCGAAAGAGACGGACAGGCGACAAAGACGAAGAAACAAGAAACACACTTATTATACACTTAAATTAGTATTACAAGTTTCAAGCTATGCCAGTCGGTCGAGTATTTTAGCCGAAAAAATATTTAAAAATAAAATATTTGTTTGCTAAAATACAGTCAGCTGAAATATTTGTCGGTGGAAGTAATATCGTTTAAAACTCTGAAATATTGTCGTCTATATATTTGTCAGCTAAAATACTGGCAACTAAAATGTGGTTCTGTTAATATACATGATGCCCAATTTAAAATGTTTGGATTAAATTATTTTTCCACCGCAATATTAATCGGGCAAAATATTTTCGGCTTTTTTATGCGCTCTTAAAAATGATTTGTATAAGTGTTGCCACTTGCCGCAGGTTCGTATGATGTATCTGTCTATCGGATTTGTCTCAGATTTTATAATATTTTATTTTTCGCAGTTGAGATATCGATTTCTAGAAAAAGGTTAATTTTGCCGTACTTTATTACCAACTCCCAAAAAATTTTTTGACTACCTATAGAAAAAAAATATTCACAAATCAAAAATAAATATGTTACCATAACACTATAAAAACTATAAAATATCAATAGAAATAGAAATCAAATAAAAGTTACAACTTTTAAAACGTTGACGAGGAAATATATACATCGTAAAAAAATGTCTGCTAGAAAATAAAATGTCAAACTCTTATTTACGCGATGTCGCATGCAGGGTTCTAAAGCTAATAAGCTGTCTCATATCAAATATTATAAAGGTATAGGTGCATATATATTCTGTTATAATATGACCTAATCCAAACGTTGTATACATATGTGGTCCACATTATGTGGAAGCCGCTGGATTTTACCCGTTTGAATCAGTTAAATAAAAACATACATGAGGATAATTTTGTAGACTCATTTACCCTAACTATATTTTCCTTGCTAAAATAAAACTTATGAGCAATAAAGTTAAATAATTTTGAACTATCAGTAAATATTAACTTCTTATATCGCTTTGGCTAAAACCTGCACAAGACATAGACAACACAGGCCTATGGCTAGAGTAGGGCGGCAAATTTGTTTGTAGGTTAATGATTAAATAATTATAATTGTACAACATGGAGGTATCAAAGTATGGAACCCAACTTCATTATACTAGAATAGAAGACATTTTCATTGGCTTTTACTATTAAGTTTAAAATGAATGTAAAATAAAATATCTAATAGGTACTATCATGCACTTTATTCAARCATATATGAACAAATGAACATAATATTTACAATTAGCCAATAGGTTTGTAACCGGAGTCTGAAATTAAGCTAAAGATAACGCATTCAATGAACAAAATTAATATCGAATGCGTAGGTATATTTTTTAACCATTATTATTCCAATTCATAAACATGTATAAGTACCTAAGTATACTATGTGGTCATATAAATGATAAATCTAGTGCACTAGATCCGAAACGTATAATTAAATATATTAATGTGGTATCGGCCAAATCGAACATATTTAAAATGTATTTTAATATTGATTAATAACACAATATTGATAATACAAATATACAATGTAGGTATTGTATTTTAGGTCAATAAACCCAAACGCGTTAAGGCTGGAACTATATACGCAGGTATAGCAACGATGATTTTTTTTTTATCGGACTGGAAGACACTTTAAAGGTGTGGCGACCAACGCGCACGAAATAAACGCGTCATTCGTACAATATGGATACCAGCTATAATATTATACAGTATAATAAAAAAAAAAAATGGCGAAGTATATCTATATGCACGCGTGACATCCGAAATCGATTTATTTATTAATTAGACTCCACTCGACGGGATCTCGTGACATGCACACGACCGCGACGATTAGAAATATACGAGAAATATTGAATATAATATTGCATATTAATATTAGACTATTTTATAATATTCTTATAGCCTTAAAAGTGACAGAGGATGAGAACCAATACGCTCGAAGATTCACGTATAAATAGAAGGAAAAAACGTGACTTGAGTCSAGGTATTATTGTTTTATCAAACGATTTTCTATGGTATAGTGGTGTGTGACGTGTGTGATAATAATAATAATTATTATTCAAACATAACGAAACTATTGTATTGTAAATGTGATATCAAACTATCCGAGCAAACCGTTTCCATCCGAAACGTCGAGTCTCGACCGTTAATTTATTAATTTTTTGGTGATATTATGTTTTTATTTGTCTCTGGTGATTCGTTTGGAAGATTGCGTGAAAAAAATTGTTCCCAAAGCTATTCAGGCGAATTTTTTTTTATTTTCATTATTATCCGCTGTATAAACAACAATCGACATTGCCATAAGATATTCGAAAATTTTAGTTCTATCTTCAATTGTGTAACATTTATACGCGCATTGTTTTGTTTAAGATATTTAGATATATATTTTTTTAATTAGTATATATACATTATAGATACTCTACAATATCAATGTGATCATATTATTCTATAATATAACCTATATAGATATCTATTATTTATAAGTTTATTATATTTATATTAAATACGTGAATTATACATTACAATACTTCTGTAGCGAATTTGTCTCAGTTCGGATATTATAGAAATAAAAGTCATAATTCAAAATAATATGAATGTGTCCATGTTCCGAAAATAAAATTTTCTTTACTTTGTTAAAACCTATATTTTAGCATTAAATTTAACAAGTTTTCGCTACTTTTCTGGATAAAAATGCAATGTAAAAATGTTATCTTTGAAACGACAAAATGACGTGAAACAAAATATGCACACCTACCCATTTCGATTTAATAACACGCTCATATAATATTTAAGTTGTAACAAACGTAAACGGTTTGCGCTCAATCAAAAACCTCGTGCGTGCTATTACATAATAATAATAACACGATGAAGAAATGTTAGTGGCACAGAGCCAAGCAATTAGTCATTTTTTAACGTTCAATTTATTTCAAACGGCTTATTTTATATATAGTTTGAACTACTTATATAGGTATACAAAATATCACTGCGCATAGAAAAAGAATAATGACGATATTAAGTGATAAGACGTATTTAATATTATGCCAACATAATACTTGTAACAATAAAACGTCGCTGATAATTAGACAGAACGATTGGGAAATCAAAATCGTGTGAAAAAATATTATTGTTTTACTCGCAAAGGTTGAATATATGTAGATAGATAGTTAATTAGTCAATAAGTAGTGCACATGACGCACCCGCGCTGTTATCGAATTACGAATTACGTTACCTCCTCTGCGGTAGAACAACAACAATAATAAAAATTTTAAATTAAAAAATAAAATATTAATTACGAATATATTATATATAGCTTATTACAGCGTTTATTACGTTATTTATTTATCGTTTATAATTATTTGAAAACAAACGATTTTTGATTACGTCTATACAACATATTACAACACACGACCGTAGCCGATATAATAATATAAGGCACAACAGGGACAACGATAATAAGAGTATAATAACAATAATAACAAGAGCGGCGGAGACGACGGCGTTGGCGGTAATGAAGATTTATGAACAAGTTTCGTGACCCGTAACCGCGCTCACCGCTATTAAACAGAAGTTGTAGTCATTTTATAGCCGCCGACTATTACCAACAGCTCCCCGTGATTATAATTGTAATTATAATTATAATAATAAGGATTATTGCTATTATTACACGGGTGGTGTGTTATTATTATTTTTTTTGTTTACCTGTGTCTCGGTGACGCCCAACATTTTTGCCATTTCGGATCGCTCGGATGATGAAAGGTACTTTTTCAGCTCGAACTGCCTCTCCAGCTCGAAAATCTGTCGGCCGGTGAATGTGGTCCGAGCCTTCTTCCGCTTCCGATCGCCACAACCGTCTGATGAGTGTCCACCATCGCTCTCTCCGGCCTGCTGCCCGGCCGGTGAACCGGAAGACGAGCTCACAAGCAGACCCGGCGACGACGACGGCGGCACATCCTTCCGTGACTTCTTCCGCACCGGCGGCGGAGCGACCGTTGCCGTGACTGTGGCTGTTGTCGCTACCGCCGCTGTTATAGTGGTAGCCACTGCCGCCGCCGCAGTCATGACATTATTATGCGTGGTTGTCGACAACGACTGAAGGTGATGATAATGATTATGGTGTGGTTGATGGTGATGCTGTTGTAGGAGATGACTGCCATTATTGTTGTTGTTATGGTTGTTATTGTTGTTCAACATCACTGCAGCCGTGGGTATTACGTCCACTGCAATCATAACATAGAATATACTCTATTTAGTCTATTTTATTATACGAAAAAAAGTCATACATTTAGTGATTTAAGTCGTATATATACATTATACATAAATCATATTGTGGTACAACACATAGAATTATATAGGTTAGGTATCCTATCCTATCCTAACCTAAGGCAAACATTGATAAATTTGGATTTACTATTATACCACTCATTGAATTTATGAATGTATAATGTATATAGGTATAATATATGGATTAATATATTATAATGGAGCATATATATTATATTATAATTTATAAGTACAAAAATAAAGCAAAAACAAATTGATCATGTTGATGGTATATGATGCATTTCAGAAACTAGTTTTTCGTGGTATAAAATTGTATCTATTTGAATAACAATATGAATACATGAATACATCTTATTAATYCTTTAGTATTTATTATTTACAAATTCAATTAATTTATTGAATGTTATACACAAATTTTGAATATTTAAGTGATATATGTAGATAAACATGCAATCTACATTTAACTTCAGTCTTCGGTTAATTATGGAGATTTTTCTGAACATTTTTCAGGAAAATTAACCCCACCGTTCACTGATGACATAAGGTCGTATATAATTATTGTCTTTTTTATTGTTTTATTATAATTACGGAGACTTGTCGCATCATATGACTATATTGCAGGGATTTAGGAAGTCAATTCTATGCTTATAATAAAGAATAAATAGTACCTACCTTATAGGTATACAGATAAAAATTACATTTTATAGCTAGATTTAAACGAGTAGCTATAATAACCTGATTAAGAGATTTGAGGTAATGATGAAATTAATTATTATTATTTTGATCGAATCGGGGCACCTATATACGCGAGTGTTGAGAGCTGAAAATATTTAGTTAGGAAGTTAGCGTTTTATTTTTAAAGAATTTTTTTTTTTACAATTAATGATGAACTTCGCATGAAAGACACATTGTAAGTTCTATGTTATAAAAAATGAAGCTGAAATGTGGGAGATGGCCGATACGTAACCTCATTATTACAACTTCGAGTTTCCTGGGAATCTCTTGAGGATATGTGTCTATTGTGTTGCGTCTTGTTTTATTTGATTTAGTTGTTTTGCGTGGGGAATTTCAATTAATTTGCCCACTCTTGGAGTTGAGAGTTGTATTTTGATCTTATTCTAGAGTATATATACTGATTTTGCATAGCATTGAAATTTGTTATATGGTGCTATAAGAGCTTCTTGCAGCTTGATCGGCTTTTTCATTTTTCTAGATCCCATCACAATAATCATTTTAGTACTTACCCAGCATAGGTTTATTTTATTTTATCCTTTTACTAAATAATATATTGTGTATACGATTTTGTGCTTGTTTAATATTAATATCTGGATGGTATAAATATTGTGTTTTTGATCTTATGTTTATTTAATTATATCACAGTGAGACTGCAGATAATTTTATTGTAGGTAGGTACTTGGAAGGTGTAATTTTTGAATTTTAGACAGATTGCTTTTAATGTCACGACCTACATTATAAAAGGATCACTATAATAATTATGTAGCTTAAGTTTACGATTAATATTATCCATATTACTGTTACATCTACCTAATCTAGGTTTTAKGATGTAATCTATTTGTATAGGTATTTTCATTATTGTCTTCTTAAATTGTTGGTAGGATATTTTGTTTATAAACTAAGGGTGTTTTTGATTTTTTTACGACGTAATAACTTAGTGTTTACAATGGCGAATGATAATCAATGGGGTCATTTTGAGGGCAAGTTGAAGCCTTCTTATTTTTAAAGAAGGAGTATCTTTAGTATTATTATCGTCTATGTTTAATATTATCCAATATTTCTAACGGTTTTTAGTTGTCGATATAAACCTATAAACTCCCTTTTTCGCATAAATAACGTCAAAGTATAGATAAATAAGATACTATTATAGTAATTTATAACTTAAAACTGACGGTGAATCACGACATAATATTTTATATATAATTTTTACTAGTACTTACAACTTACAACTCATTATATTTTACTTAATAGATGACCCACTTCAAAAATAAAAATTTAAAAAAGTCTACTACATTGCTGCAACTTTTTTATATATGATACCTACTTTTTAATTAAAAAAATAATATATTTATAGACGTTGGTTAGAAAATAAATAATTTCAAGCAAAACAATTTTATCTGACATGTGTGCACAAGTCACAGATTTGTACTTTTATAAGGACTGCATATGGCAGGGATATTATTATAATCACACAATTATTTTAACATAATGATATAATAATATATGGTCCATGACTATATGGTATTTTGTTATATATATATATATATTATAGTACAATGTGTAAACATTTTAAATTTAAAACTAATCTTATTTGTTTTAACTTGGGATATAATAGAGATATTTTATTAGTTAGAAAGTATATATTAAGGTTTGTAACGGATAGCTATTTTAAAACTGTTGTCACTCTTGCTAAATGCTATACTACCGAAACAAAATAGTACAAATAGTTACAATATTACATTGCTTTAGAAAAAATCTAAAATATAATGGGCTACAACTTCCAACCACTATTATTTTCCTTTTTGTACTTTGAAGTTTATAGTAAAACGTACACGCATAACCATGGGCAATTAGGTATTTATAGACCGCGAAAGTGTAAGTGTAAGCATATCTTATGTGGCCCTTTCAGAGTATTTTTTTTAATAATCAGTTTGGTATGTGTTATCTACAAAACTCTTTAACACAATTGGGACATAGGTACAAAACGTCAATAATAGATTAAATTATAATAAAAATATAAAATACTACACAGCTTTAATTTTAAATCACTTGCATAATTGCTTAAATTTTAATCGATGGTATTTAACAGCCCTAACGGCTAACACATACGGTCGTTTCTACACTCCACGGTGCGTATATTTATTTGGGTTATTGACTACAATGAAGGAATAAATATTATATTTTATATCTTTACATAATATCATAAATAACTATACAAATACTAGGTTATAATAATAAYAATAATTAATATACCTATAAACTATATTTATTTAACAGGTAATATGTACCTAATATGGTTTTATATAGCCGCTATAATTGTTATTATAATACTTGCAATAGTAGCTTTTAAAAAGCTTATTTGGAAATAAATCGTTAGTAATGTTTCGTATTTATTATTGCTTCGAAGTATGTATTAAAGTAATATGATAAATTAAAAAAGAAAAATATTTTTTCTTTAAAAATTTTAAATTTCTATTTGTGGTTAAGCTTTTCGACTTATACACACAGAAATGGTTTGTCCATATTACGCTGGCTTTTAAATATTTATGTCTACATATAWACATACATATGTATTGGAGTAAATACATTTTATTGATTTTGGGCTTGTGACAAAGTTACACATGGTGCGGAGGGCTTGAATCAAAGAAACATCAACGCCGCATACTATATTATGCTTATTTCAGATAAAGCTAGACATTCTTGAGCTCGACACATACGTGATAAAAAATACATCTATATAAATTGTTAGTACATTATAATAATCGTCAGCAAATGATTGGCTATGCATGTGACCCTGTACTATAATGAGTATCCACGCTAATAATTATAATTTATAATAATATATATACATATAAACGGCAAAAACACTTATGTAGTTATGCTTTACTGGGTTCCGTAGACTTCCGTTGCGTAGAAATCAACACGGATCTTTAAATATTTTATAGACCCTTTTAGACATCARTTAGTCACCAAGAATCGGGCCATTAACGTTTAATCCGACCCGTTAAATGTGTATACAGTTTTGATTCAACCATCAGGCAACATATTATGATTTATGATAGGTACATAGAAATATAATATAGTTTTACTAACTGCATGTCTACAAATTACCCGACGTAATAAAAATACTAAGTAGGTTATAAATTAAAATCAATTTAAACACTAAGTATAAACTCACGTATACTCGTTGCAATAGAGTTCTCTACGAGTATTAACACAAAAAATTATTATACTATTTACCATTTTAATGAGTAGGTACCTCATGTTGTGTGATTTACCATTGACGTACCATGAGTACCATAAACATACTCAGGGTGAAGGAGAACTTCGAATTTATGTCCTTTAAATTTGATAGATAATTTAATAAAAACTAAAATAATATTCCATATTGAAAAAATGTATCATTTTACTTTTCGTTGCGAAACCTCCTCTCTTTCCTTCCACTGTATTTTTATGGCTATTTAAAAAAATAAAATGACTGAACCCCCTAAATCAAATGAAAATTCTTGAGAATATCTCAGTATACGTTTTCATTGTTAAAAAATGCAATAAGCGCGATGTTAATGCGCTCGAATACAACTCTATGTACCGAAGTAGTAAATTACGTAGTAAAATATTTATATAGACCAACAACTATCCTTTCTAGCCCTTGGAGCTAATAAGTTAGTTTCCGGGGATACAAGGAATAACTAAAAAAAAGGGTGTACGAGTTTTTTTTATTTTATAATAATAATAATTCTGAATAATTCAATCACAMCTACGTACCACTACAGCGTGGCGTACGCACTACAACTGTCGAATGTCGAGCAGCCGATAATAATTTTAATTATCATTTTATACAATCATCGTAGACCGTAGACCGTAGACCATCGTAGTATCGTCATACGACATTACATTTGTGCATGTTGTACGATAAATTTTAAATATAAGATATAACACATACACACATAAATACATACAAAAACAGATTACCACATAATATATAAAGATATAAAAATAAGCAGCCGGCGCCGCGCCACACTATTTTATTCATATATACATACTTAACGGCGTTACATAATAAAAATACAAAAATAAACTTTCGGCTGAATTGTTGCTTACGAAATACTATCGTTATTCAAGCACTATTATTATAATATGTATCATTGTCTCGTACGGTGGACGTGAGCATATAACTAATACTTACGCGACTCGAACAGCG